TTGCTCTTTTCAGTTCTGCAGGTATTTATAAATAGCCAACCCTTTGAAAATATTGTGCCATTCAAAGCCAGATGAATACCTCAGACCTTTTTCCTTCCGGAGTCTCTGTATGACGATTCAAAAGCAGATACCATCTTCAAGTGAGGATCAGGAGTTAGGGGATCAATCCAGAAAGCAATATTTATAATGACCTTTGTTGGATGAGCTTGATTTGACAGGCTCAGAACAAGGAAAATTGTCATGTACTATCTTGTAGTTATTTGTACTTCTTATAGCCAAATTAGCATTTAAATATGTTTATACTACCGTAACAAAGTTGAGTTTGAACTTAAAATACTGAAATGTGGCCATAGGGGTAAGGAGTGGCAGGGGGAGGAGGGTCATATGCTGATGTACAGTCTTCCCTTATAGAGTGTGGCCCAAGGGAGTTGTTCACCATCCAACTCGTACTCATTCTGGGACAGGGTGTTTGTTTTGCCTGAAATTGCAGTACAGAGCAGGTTATTAGCATAGAATATAGACCTCGGAAGTGAAGAAAGTTAACTATAACTGAGAGATTAGATAGATTTCAGTGTTATCTCTTATATTGATCAATGTCATTTAGGCACTATTTGTAAATTGATTTTGTGATTGTGCTAAATTAACAAAAGCATTTGTAAAGTCAGAAGCACAGCCTCGGTTTTGTTTAGTTTTGTTTTTCCGTATGGTTTCTTCTAGGACACTTGTTTCTACCACTGTCAAATCTGCTTCTGTAAATCTCTTTGTCCACAAGACTTTTAAAATGCCTCCCAAAATTCCAGCCTGTCCATGCCACGGGTGGGATTTTCAGCATTCTTCTTATATTGCCATAAAATAAAATGCTGAAGAGAAAGCTTTAAATAGAGTTTCAACAACTTTAACAGAAAAGACTTGAGTGATACTTGGGACGTTAACTAGCTGAAATCTTGTGAAAGACTTATTTTAAGCCCATCCTGGTTGGTCTGGGAAAGGCGTGGTATATCCAGAGTGGACTGAATTTGTGATTTCTGCATCTTTGTGTGTAGTTACATAGACTTCCCAGGACATGGAATATAACTAGTATTCTTCCATACACAGAGTTAAGATATAATTACCATTTTCTTATCTTTCTCCCAAAGGAAAATTCACCAAAACGAAAACATTTTATAAAAATATAAATAGGTTTGGAAACAATCATAGTAGTTGAAGTCCTAACTGTGTGAAAATGAGTTTAAAATACAGTCATGTGCCAAATAACAATGTTTGGATCAACTATGGAGCGCATAAATGATGGCGGTCCCATAAGATTATACTACTATATTTTTGCTCTACCTTTATGTGTTCAAATATGTTTAGGTACACAAATACCATTGTGTTGCAGTTGCCTACAGTATTCAGTATGGTAACGTGATGTATAGCTTTGTAGCCTAGAAGCAGTAAGCTATACCAGTACAGCCTACGTGTGTAGTAGGCCTAACCAACTAAGTTTGTGTAAGATCTCTATTATGTTCACACAGATGAAATCACCTAAAGACACATTTCTCAGAACATATCCCCCTCATTAACGGGTGGCTGTAATTACTAATTGTTCCAATACAGATGAAGATGTAATATCAAAGTATTGACATAACATGTTCTGCACAATGAGAAATTACAGTTGTCATGGGATCTGGTTCTACATATGTAGAATTCTAGTGGTTCCTATATTTTAGAGAAAATTCCAGATCTTTAGAGATTAGAAATCACAATCATTATATTTTTACAAGTTTTATTTGGAAAAAATCTCTTAAAGTAAGAAGAGAAAGTATCTCTTTACTTTTAAAAGTGTTTCAATTGCATGAAGTTAGAATTTGGCTCATTTAATTTCATCCCCCGAGGAAACCATTGATATCATTTTGGTACATAGTCACAGTTGTCTATCCATTTACCTATTTATGTGCACTTGTATGTGTATTTTTAACAATGATTTGAACCTATTATTTAGTTTTAATTTGTTTTTTGTTTGTGTGAGAAGGTATTCCAAAATTTCATAACTTTTTAAAACCTATTCAGAAGAGAAAAAAACTACCTTAATTGAAAGAGGAATTACAGGTAAATTGAAGAGCTTCTAGTACTGAATCTTAATGTATAAAAGTGTTTTTACCCTTTTTATTGTTCATGTCTAAATGCTGATTTTTATAGCCATGCAATGGTTTGCATATGTGAGACATTGAGTTCTGTGCTATCCAGTACAGTAGCCACATGTGGCTATTTAGCACTTGAAGTGTGGCCAGTCCAAGTCGAGGTGTGCCGTAAGTATAAAATACATACAGGATTTCAGAGACTTTGTACAAAAGAAAGAATGAGAAGTATCTTATTGATAATTTTATATATTGATTACATGTTAAAATGGTAATATTTTGGGTATACTGAATTAAATAAAATATATTATTATATTTAATTTCACCTGTTTTTCTTTTCTTTTTTTAATGTGGCTGCTAGAAAATTTCAAATGACAAATGAAGTTTGCATTTTGACTCACATTACGTTTCCGTTGGATAGTGCTAGTCTAGATCATCTATATGTCTGTATATTTATGTTTTAGAAACAGCATCATCTCCTCAACAGAAAACCCTATTGAATAACTTTGAACCATAACCTCTGATTTTATTTTCTTAACATTTCAAATGCTGTTTTTCAACATTATCTTTTGATTCTTTTTTGTTTGTTTCCAGTACAGCGGTACTTTAAACTACCTCTCTCTTTGATACCAGTAAGTCTCCTAGGAATTTAAATAGGCCTCAGTGAAAGCAATACTTGAGCCTCATTTATATGTTCAAGTTAGATCATTATTCCTAATAATGGCTTTAAGTGCTTAGGTAGATCAGCACTGCATGTCTTGAATTGCTTGTCATTTCTTTATAAAGATGTTTCAAGAAATTGTTCCATGTGATCTTTTCTTTCATTATTTTCTAGCAAAAAGTAACATAATCCTTTATTAGTTTGTTGGAAGTCAGAAAAGAAAAGCCTTTTATAATAGCAAAAACAAAATGTATTTCCAGGTACTGAGAATAAAGTGCAAAATTAGTCATGAGTGATAGTCCTTCGAAAGTTAGTTTTTAAAATAAATCGCGAATGCACTGTCAATCTGCCAGTGGCTTTAACCTCTGTTTTATTTTCCCATTATACTTGGGTCCAGGTTGTCATCAGCTACTGTGAGGAAACCTATGTAATTCCTGGAGAGAGAAAAGTTGCACTGTTAGACTTAATAGTATGGTAGTCATGGAAGCATCAGTTATCTTCATCAAGGCAATTCAGATTTGATTATTGTCGAACTGTGTTGAATACCAAACCAGTGGAGTAGTAGCTGGAGCTAAATCAAGGGATTGTCATTTTTGTCAGATGATTAGGGCTGGCTTGGAAGAGATATGATAGGGTTGAGCTGTGTAAATACTCTCTTTTCAGCAGAAAAAGAAAAGGTCCATCACGGCCATTAAGATGCAGCTTGTTAGCTTGATGAATTTCAAACTATTTAACCTTAGCAATTATATCCCCCGCCTCCCTTATGCCTACATGCATGTATATCAGTGCCTTGGGATTATGTCTCCATGGATTGATATCTAAGCATATTGTTAATTTTCTATTAAGATAGAACACAGATTTTCTGTGTCCAGATATATCTCTCAAAGGATGGTGCATGCCCTTCTTCAAATTATTAACTTGAACTATATGCTTAGGTAAATATTAGAACATATTTTTTTGTAAGCTTTTAAAAAACTTTTTTAATGGAAAATACATGTAATTTAATATTTTAAAGATGATATTCTTTTAAGTTATGCTTATAAATATATTAGGTCTTTATAAAGTATAAGTATATTTGTCTAATTTTTATTTGCCTATGAGGGACTCGATACATTTAAATAATAGATATATTTAAATAATAGCAACACATTCAAGTAGACACACCCAAAGTAATGATTCAAGAACATTTCTGCAATGTTTATATATAATATTAAATCCCAGAAAGGGCAATGTTATTGCTGCTTTTATGAAAATAGGCATTGGTCAATTTGCTTTTGTATGGTAATGGTTATCCTACTAATATTTCCACTACCTGGCATATTTTGGACACTTATTAAACTCATAAATAAGGGTGGATGACATAGAAATTGCTAACTTTAAAAGAATTGCTGAAATCTGAAAGAACTCATTTTAGGAGAAGAAAGACTCAGTGTGCCATCTAGTGGACATACTTAAATTTCTGTTCATAAAAAACATAGTGATTTTAACTCTTCCTTCAAAATGCAGTTATCTTGACCCCTTGTATCTCTCAGCCCTTTAGCATAGTTTGTGCTTGTGTTACATCTCATATGGTTTTTCAGTTTTGTTATAATTTTATCTCATTTTAGTTTAGAAAGTTATATTTGAAAGTTATATTCTGAAATCATCAAAAATAAATCTAGGCCAGGCATGGTGGCTCACACCTATAATCCCAGCACTTTGAGAGGCCAACATGGGAGAATTCTTTGAAAGCCAGGAGTTCGAGGCCAGCCTGGGAAACATGGCGATACTCTATCTCTACAAAATAAATTTTTAAAAAAATTAGCTGAGCGTGGTGGCACACACCTGTACTCCTAGCTACCCAGGAGACTGAAGCAGGAGGATTGTTGAGCCCAGGAGTTCGAGGCTACAGTGAGCTATGATTGAGCCACTGTACTCCAGCCTAGGGTGGCAGAGCAAGACCCCATCTCAAAAAAATAAATAGACAAATAACTCTGATGACAGGAATAAATCTATGTGAACCATGAGACAGGTAAAAATAAAATATATTAAAATAATTTTAATGCTTAATCAAGGAAGAACATAAAAAAAGGAAAATACAAGCACACTAATTATTAAACTTTATTACTATATGTATTCTTTTCTGAAGGAATATAAAAATGATCATTTCTGTCCTTTTATATGTTAATGTATAATTTAAATAGCTTTATACATTTTAATTTATTGTTTTGTTTTTCCTTTAGAGAAATCCAAGACCGGTGACTTATCAATTCCACCCAAATTTAGATTATTACAAAGCAAGGGGAGCAGACCTCATGAACAAAAGCCGGTAAGTCCCCATTCTCCGATGATAGTTATAAATCACAAAGATGGTCTCAGAGGTCATCAGGAAATTTTACACATTGCTGAAAATAATCTTCCAGATTTTAGCATATCAGGGGTTAAGGTACATAATGGATCTTTGTTAAATAAATTATTGAAATGTTTTTAAAGGCCTAAGAAAATGGTATATATTGATGTCAGTGATAAGATGAAAAATTAAATAAATATAAAAGTACTTGTTACAGTTTGAAGTTAGGCAACTTCATTTTTCTAACACTAATAAACCTAAATAAATTGTGCCTACTTGTATAATCTCTTTCTAGATTTTTGCTGTTGATTGAAAAGAGGCAGTTCTATAATATATTTTTAAATTATTTCAGTAACAAAATTAAAATTGGGTTTCCCAGCTGCCTTTAGAACTACACAATAAGCTTATAAATGCATCTTGTGTGTGCATTTGTGATTGCATACATAGAAATTTTAAGGGTCACTGTAGGAATAAAAAAAACATTAAAATCCTACTTTTAAAAGAAATTAACATTGGCATAAAGGGTTGATGAACAGTTTTGTTCTTTCATAATACTATATTCGGATGTCTCAAGAGTTAACTTGTCAAACCAGAACCATTTCAAATTAGAATGTAATTTCAAAGTTTACTCTGGAAGACAAAAATGTTAGTAATGATAAATGCTGCCAAGTTGTCCGAATTTTCTTCCTTAAGCATTTTGCCTATCTGCTGGCTTTTCTTAAGTAGAATTCCAACAGCCTAAATATACATTTATGGAGTACATATACACAATGTGTTCTGCTGTTACTGGAGAGTTAAAAATAAGTTATAATTCCTGCTGCATAGGAGCTCATAGTCTAGGGGTGGAAAGAAGTTTGCAACAAAGTAGCTAAATTTAAACTTGAATTTAAAGCTTAAATTTAAACTTTGAACCCTGTACTGGTATAGTGTTATTACAAAATTACCCATCTTTGATTGAGTTTGTCCCATGGTTTGATATACTATACAATTATGAGACCAGTTCCATAGCCCATGAGACTTCTCTGAAGCTCTTTTCTCTTTGTTCATTTCATATTTGTCTTGTTACACAAATAAAAAGCTATTCCCTACAGTCACTTGTTCATTTAATTCAACAAATTTTTATTGAGTGCTAAACTCTGATTATTTTAGTTACTAGAGATGCCCAGTGAACAAACAAGACCAAAATCCCTGCCCTCAGGAATCTCACTGTCTAATCACTAGTATTTCCTCCCCATTATGTCAAGTATTTAGTTTTGGTATGTTTAAAAGAATGTGGTGTATTAGGTTCTTTTTTTACACAAGAAAGAGCTGAAGTCCCTTCTCTCTCCTTCTCCCTGCCCCACCAGATTATTTTTCACACAACAGCCAAAGAAATCTCAGTTTATAACAGATCATATCACACCTCCACATAAACCCCTCCAGAAGCTTCCTATTGTCATTGATAATTCAGTCTTCTTCCTGTGGCCCTTTCCTTTCTCTTTGAGCTTATCTCCTTCCACTCTCCCCTTCTCTTTACTTTTCTACAGCTTCATTGACCCTCTCTGTTTCTTGCTCTTACCTGGGGCCTTTGCACTTGACTCTTCCCTACTGTTAGAGAACTTCTACCCCATCTTTCCATGCCCCTTCATGATTTAGGGCTCAGCCCAAATATCACCTCAGAGAGGCCACTCTTCTCCCTGCCTATCTTCTCCCCTATTCACTCTATCCCATCATCACTAACTGAAGTTATATGATTCATTTATGTATTTATCATCTGTCTCCCCAACTTCTCTACTAAAATCTAAGCCCCTGAGAGCAGACACTTTGTCTTATTCACCACTTTGTGGCAGCTATGACAATGCCTGGTATAGGGAAGGTATTCAACACATATTTGTTGTATGTTTTTTTTTTTTTTATAGTTTCAACATCTTTTTTTACCCAAATGAAATGTACTGAACCTTTCCTTTCTCCCTTTCATGTTTTTATTTTCTTCTATGTAGCCTTCACTTCCTGTATTTTTCTTCTGCAAAATGTTTCTGTTTTACATAATTCTGTGTAAGCACACTGAGATTCTTATGCAAAGTATTGTTTGATGATTGAAGGAAGGTTTTTCATCATCTCTTGTGCAATTTCAAAGCTTAAAATTGAATTATTGAAATGTAGCATGTGAAATAGAAGACATAACGGACCAGTGAGCAAGGAAAGAGTTAATAGATGTCGCTGGGTAACTTATAACCTTACCACACACCAAAATAAATTCCCAAGTGTACTCAAACAAGCAAACATGGAAAAAATACAAGTGCCTATCTGACCAGTAGTTACATGAGAACTTGTTAATCTTTTATTTATTTATTTTTAATTGACAAATAATTGTGTGAAGACTTTTTAACCTTAACAGTAATGGAGGAAATCACAAAGGGAACAAACTGGTAGGTTTTGCTATACAACAAATATTTTTAAGTAGATATGTCAAAAATAAAAATCAAAAGGTAAATAGAAAATTAGGAAAATATTTGTAGTATATGTAACTGACAAAGTATAAAATCATTAATGTATGTAGAACCTCTGTGGTTTAATAATAAACACAAGATCTTGTCTCAGTGGCCATTCCATCTCATGCCATGTTCTGCTGAAATCTCCTTCTCTTTTCCAAATGTTGGAATACCCTCGCCCCAGGCTTTTTTCTTTTCTATCCATGACTCATTCCTTAGAGTATCTCAGCCCAGTTCATGGCTTTACATACTATCTATAGCTGAATGGTCCTTAATTTATGTCTTCAGTTTTACTCCTTCTCTTGAACTCCAGACTTACATAGCCCACTATGTACTGAACATTTCCTCTTGGATGTCCCATATGCATCTCAAATTTAATACTTTGTAAACTGAACTCTTGATTCTACCTCTACACTCACAAACCTGTTGTCCCCCTCAGTGTTTCTTCATCACAGGAAATACTGGACTTGTTTCTCCTAAACGCCAACCCTTTTCCTTTCCTGATTTTAATCTGTAACCTTTCACTGTAATATTCCATAACCATGAGGATAATAGCTTCTCTGAGTTTTGTGAGTCCTTCCAGTAAATCATCATGATTGGTAGCCTGAGGACCCCTTATAGTAGAGACTAAGAGTAGGCAAAGATTTATTACACAGGAAACAAAAAGCACTAGAAAAGATAGATTAAATGAACTTTATCAAAATTAAATTCTTTCTGTTTGTCAAAAGACATCGTTAAGAAAATGAACAGGCAAGCCATCACACACTGGGGAGTAGTATTTGAAATATATACATCTGACAAGGACTCCCATCCAGAATATATAAAGAATTCTTACAGTCAAGAAAAAGACCAAATAGGCAAAATGCTTGAACAGACACATCACAAAAGAAGATATAAAAATCATCTATGGTCTATAAAAAGATGTTGAACATCATAGTCATCAGGAAAATGCAAATTAAAACTACAATGAGATATCATTTCACACCACCTAGAATGGTGTCTTTATAAGAGACTGTCAATAGAAAATAATGGCAAGAATGTGGAATGATTAGAACCCTCGTATATATGAGTGGAAAAAGGTATAATTACTTTGTAAAACAGTTCAGTAGTTTCTTATAAAGTTAAACATACATTTCCCCTATAATACAGCAGTTTAATTTCTAAGTGTCTATCCAAGAGAAATAAAAACATATCTGCAAACAACAAAACACCTCCACGAGGATGTTCATAACAGCCTTATTCATAGTTCCCCAAATCTGGAAATAACCCAATATCCATCAACAAGACATGAGATCAACAAATTATGATATGTTCAAATAATGGAATACTACTCAACATTTTAAAGGAATGTACTGCAGTTCGCCCTTGGTATACATGGAGGAGATATGCAATAACATGGATGAATCTCAAAAACATTACTGACTAAAAAAAGCTATTAATAGACACAAAAGAGTGCATACTGAATGGTTCCATTTATGTGAAGCTCAAGAACAAGTGACTAACATGGTAACAGAAATGAGAGAGTAGCTGCCTCAGGATGAGGGGTTGGAACTGACTATAAAGGGGCAGGAAGGAATTCTGGGGTAAAAGAAATATCCCAGATATATTATTTAGGATGGTGGTTACACAGGTATACACAACTGTCAAAACTCATCAGACTGAACACTTAAGATCTGTAAAGTATATGCAAATTATACCTAATTTTTTTTTTAAAAAAGGAAAAAGGTCTGTACTAGGTAGAATATAGTGTTACCATTTTACCTAAATTGGTTAACAATCATCTTTGGTAGAGCAGAAAAAGCACTTCAGATATAAATGTGTTTATAGCACAAATGCTCAGTTATTTGAACATAAAAATATCAAAAAATTGCATTTATGTGGCCATCAGTGTCCTTAGAAATTCTGATCAGCCAATTAACTACTAATACTGATAACCAGGGACTTCCTGGCTTCATGGCTTGGGGAGCATTATTAGCATATTATTTCTTTACCATAATTTAGCAATAAAAGATCTTTGAAAAAATGCAGTCCAAATATAATAAAGCCTAATTTTAAAAATCTTATTGACCACATAAAATGAAAATTTTCCAGGAGAATCTTATAATACCTTTTAGGTTTCAAACCAGTATTTATTGTTCAGTAATTAAACTAAATATTTATTGAATACTATAAACAGTACCAGGTAATTTGCTAGGCCCTGGAGATATAAAGATTCTAAGACCCAGAGCTTGACATTAAGGATGTTCAGATTCATGTAAGCTATTAGTCTTAGGCATATAATTTACTTTATAATGGAAGCTAAAAAGTATTCATTCGTTTCACAAATATTTGAATTTCTTCTCTGTGCCAGGTACTGAGAAAACAGCAATGAAAATGATAGATGTGGTTCTCCTCTCACAGAGCTCAGATTCTATTATAAGATTACAATTGTTAGAAGGGGAATATTTGTGCTTCCTGGGAACCTGTACTTTTCCAGGACATTCTAGTTAGGCCAGGCCCTGAGAGAAG